TATGTATCCTCATATTGTCAACTGGTTTCAAATCTGATATTTATTCTTTGAGATGCATGGACTATATCATCATTTTGGTTGGTTTCAAATAATTAAATCCTCTCATGGGCCTAGATAACTTGTTTTATTGCATTTGATGTTGTCAAAATCAAAACATTTCGGACATTTGTTCTTGGTCTTACTTCGGACAATGTTGGCTAACATTTTGGCCGGTAGAGGAATAAAGCTAGGAGAGTACCAAGCTTCTTGGAACATCAGAAACAAAAAGATTCTTATCTTGGCCAAGAGGAGCAAAAACTTCATGAGCTCTTTTTTGTGCAGCTCAAGCTGATTCACAACAATATTGCTTTAATCATCTTCAAAATTTTCTTACTATCTAACTGCATATTCAGATATAATATTATTCATTGATATCGAATCAAAACAAGTCTTAATCAGGTGGCCATGTGTTTGTATTCATATCTAGTTTAATTTACTCTATACATACACAGCTGTTATTTGTTTCCATTTATTTCATGATTTTATCCAAGGTGATACTTTTTTGGGTTAAAAACAAAAGGATATTTGACATTAATGTACATAGGACAACATCTTGGGCATAATAAACATTTTATTTTATGGCGGTTATAACTATGTATACCAGCTCCATACTATAAGGCGAAATGCAAAGTGTTTCAGCTTTCCTATAAATTGGCATAGCCCAAGTATGGGAAATTCACCTAGGTTGTAGTTGTATTATAAAACAAAGTGTGCATATGGAGTTCTGCAAGATTCTTTTTGCTACCTTCTTTATTCTGTTATTTCTTGAATGCAATGGTGATTAGGCTTTTATATCTATTGTTTATTTGCAGATTGTGAGCCATAGTCACTACTACACACATCCTTTGCAGCTGATTCATTTTCTAGGAATGAATAGAAGAATAATCCTCTTTGTGCTAACATTTCACTTTAATGTATAATAAATATTTAGGAGAAAGAACTAAAAAAGGGATTTCTTCTTTTTCTTTTTCATCATGTGAGCTAAATGATTTGTTTCATTTGTTTCTTTGCAGCTGCAAATTCCAAGCTCTTCCGAGAGTATATTGGTGCAGAATCGGACTCGATCAAGCTCTCCGATGTACCTATAGACTCGAGTGTTGAATTTCACTGGCCTTTGGAATTGATTATACTTATGACAATCATCCATCACCAACTAATGGAAAGTTCAACATATTATGGGAAACCAACAATTTGGGCCCTGGTCAAATTGCCTCGATAAAGAAGAGTAAATCAAACGTCAAGATTGCTGTCAGCTTGGGGGGTGATACTGTAGGCGATAATAATAATGTCATGTTTCCACCTAAGTCCACGGCGTCTTGGGTTCAGAATGCTGTTTCTTCACTTACTGATATGATCAACCATTACCATATTGATGGAATTGACATTGACTATGAGCACTTCAGCACTAGTCCTGAAATATTTGCAGAATGTATTGGACAGCTCATAAGGAGTCTGAAAAGAAGTTGGACTATCTCTTTTGCTTCAATTGCTTCCTACGAAGATGAAACAGTTCAAAGCCATTATTTAACATTGTGGAGGAAATATGGACATATCATTGACTATGTAAACTTCCAATTCTATGCATAAGACAAGCTCAGTGTTTCCCAATTTATAAGAAACTTCAATGAGCAAGCTTCTAATTATGGGGGAGGTCAATTATTGGCCAGCTTCGAGAGTGGTGGTGGTGGAGGCCTAAGACCTGGTGATGGAATTTTTAAAGCCTGCAATAAGTTGAAAGACCAAGGAAAGCTCGGTGGCATCTTTATATGATATGCTGATGAATCAAAATCAAACAGCTTTCAATATGAGAAGCAATCTCAGAATCTACTTGCTGCATGATCAAATTGTGTGTATTATATGGGGTACATTTCGAGTGTCCCTGCTCAAACATAAAAGAAGTTCAGCAATAGCTGAATTGCTTAGACAAGGATCCAAGTTACTACTATTTTTGTTATAATAATCATGGCAATTTCTGGTACAATAATTGGATTTATCCGTAATACCTGAATAAATAATAAAATGATTATTTTAAGTATTTTTTTTAAGTGGAGGAACTTTTAAATAAAAAATGAAAAATGCATAAGACTTAATAATAAATAATTCAACTTTTAATAGATTAACATATACTAGTTGTTTGCCGACAATTAATGAAATTAAAAGAAAAGGCTTTTTGGCCCTTTCTTTTTTATATAAAGCAAATAAGTTGAAGGATTTCAGTTTAAAATCAAGAAAAATGAACAAATAAACTACTTTAATTTTAGAGAAATAATTTTTTATTGTTGAGTAGTGGAATTTAACTTGTAATCAAGGAACTTGAAAACCTTAGAAAATCCATTATCACTGTTCAAGATTGGTTTGGGTTAACGGAAATCAGTAGAATGAGTAGCCATTATATGAAACATATCCCATTGTGTAGTCCAAGGCTTAATGGGTCTCCATATGTAACAAAAAGGCATATATACTTACATTGAGAGTCTTCCCATTCCCAAGAACAACCTTGTCTAAGAATCGGCGACAAATGCTGCTAGCTCAACAGTACGCATCTATGGTGCTAATTGTCACTGTTTGCGCTCTTTTTATGCCAGTATTACCTGCTGAAGGAACCCCCCTCTTGCAGTGCTTTGTGATAATCCGAAGAAAATAGCATCCTCTACATTGTTTCTGGCTGCGTAGATACAGTATGAGTTCGATGACCATCTCCATCCCTAGCAGAATCTTCTGTATGAGCTGCTGAGTTGCAATATCGAGCTCCAATAAGCTTACTGTAAGATAAGCATTAACTTTTTGATAAGAAATTCTCAAACATTTTAGGAAACATAAATATGAATATGATGGTACTTGAAGCTGTGATCTTATAAAGTGAATGGAAATATTTACTTGTTACTGGTGAAATTTTGTCCACCATTACCAAGAACCCTTCCACTTTTTGCGTGCTTAAAGCCTTCATCACTAAAGATTTCTGACTCAGGCCAGATTCCACTGTCAATGACACCAACTATGACATTGCTCTCAACAGTCAGATTACGTTTAGCAGCCTCATTGAATCCCATGAAATCCCATTATCTTGTTGTTTGAAGGTGGTAAATTTTACTTGGAAAAATGGAGACTACTCCTCTCGCGCCTATAAATCATATCAAAGCAATGTGGAAATGCGTTATAAGGTCCAATTTTTTAATCATATCATAGATTAAAAATTGCAGAAAAGAAAAAAAGATCTTCACTCCACTTGCAAGTTTCTTTGCGTCTTCATTAGTAAGCTTGGCATCAAATCCATTGAAGCTTCTTTTGTAACTTCTGATCAAGTAATTTTGTATGGCGCTGGAGAGAAGAAGTATAAAATGTTTATCTCAAAATATAGATGTCCTACCTCTGCTTAATAACTGCTTGAAGCATACTAAAATGGTGAGATGATGGAAAGTATTCTTCTCCAGGAAGTGATCCGAGGTTAGCAATGTAAACCTCCATGATGATGATCATCATAATCATCATAGTTACCAAACAATTTAGACAATCTTTCTCATTCTTCATTCGAACAATAAATTAACTCGTTGATTTGTTATAAAGATACTTGACTTTCTGTCTTCATCTAGGCTCACGTTAAGCATGAAAATGAAGAAAATGCCAAGAAACATTTCACACACAAATTTTGCCATTGTTCTATGCTTGACTTGAATATGCACAATATTGCAGACTGGTCAATGGAATTTTATAATTAAGGAAATTGAACCTCAGATTCCATTTCTAGTGACTCAAGTATTTTTCCATTGATAGCCAATGCATATTATAGTTATGGTGTTTATGCCAACAGCATATATATATATATATATATAATAATATATATATATATAGCATGAATTAAGAGTAATGTATAACATTTCAGGATGATATTGTTCCTAGTTCCTCCAATAAAAAAAAATCCAATAGGCTAAATGTAATGTATTTCAAAGGTCAGCACCAGACTGGCTTCTTTACTATATAAAATTTCCACAAATATCACCTACAAATGGCTATATTGAGAAAGTAAGGCTATATTTCTCCATATCTCCTATAAATGGCTCCTTTTACCATATAAATCACTTGCAGTACTTAATGTTGCCAAGTTTTATACTTCACATGATACTTTAGGGGGAAAAGAAATAGAAAACTTGGACAATTTGGATATTTGGATATTTATCCAAATATTTAATCAAGGGTCCAAATCAGTTCCCCTAAAAAATAAAACCTTCCCTTAAAAAAAAACTGGAATGCTTAAACAAGGGTCCAAATCAGTTCTAGGTTTCTAGCATTTTTATTAGCCAAACTTAGACAATTTGGATATTTATCCTAATGTTTTTCTTGGTCAAAATTTAACTGAAACATTAGGATTAAGATTTGAATTCCAAACTTATTGGATGTCATTTTTTAAGAATAATTGCATGAATCAATCAAGTTAAAATCCATGTTCGTTCTAGCCTACTTAGTAATGCAAGTTCTGGGATTTTGATTTTGACACATGTGAGTAGACACTTGAAGGATACATCTGAATGGATAGATGCCTGTCTGTCATCGTATGAACATGGAAAAAATAAATGAAAATCTCATATCAAATCAATATCCAGATTTGCTTCCCATTATTGAAATTTTAATTTTTTATGGTATTGGTATCCATGTAGAAAAAGTTGTCTGAGATTAATCATAAGAAAGCATATTGAGAAAATACAATCAGACAAGCATAACTAAATTTCTTCCATATAAGCCAATTTTCATCCTTTTATGCTTCTTGGGCATTCTTCATTTCTTATGCTTTCTTTCCTAACATTGCTAGAATAAATTTTAGGACTGATCAAAAATGTAAATCTATTATTAATAGATGGCAAGAAATTGACTAAACGTCTATAACATAAACTGGAAGCAATAACATCAGTGCAGGCAGGCCAACAGGACTGAAGATCAGTAGGACAAGTTTAAGGGATCTCGTGTAATCATGAGATCCTCACAACCCTTTGAACGCCTTCGTATGTATGAATAACAATTGGACTTCTAACACTATGAGTGCCATCTGACCATACCAATGATGTTGACAACATCGATGAATTACCCAAAGCTTGTCCGGTAACAGTAACATTATAAGACTTCTTCTCCTTTAAGGACTTGAAGGATAGAACTTCAGGAGTAACTTTGACATCAAGTTTCGAGTTGGAAGAGAGTTCTACATTGTAAGTAGATCTTGCTACACCAACATTTGTAACTGTTCTATGGAAATTGACTGTGAAAGAATCACCTGCTGGAACTGCAGCTGTAAGTGAAGGATAATTGAAATCCCTTGGCAGCAAATTTTCGGAGTTTTCGGGGCAGGAGCTGTTATCTCCTGATATTTGTCTAATGGTACCTTCACCATAGCCAATGCTGCACAAAAATCTTATGTTGTCTCCTTTAACAGTGTCATATACAAGCCCAGGATTGATAGCTTTTACAGGGTTGACATGTCCAGATCCATAAGCAAATTCACCATCTGGATTATTGGACGGATCCATGGGGAAAGCTATCGGAAACAGAAAAAAATGGTAAGATAGAAAAACAAACTAACAAAATCAGGTTCATTACAATAATGACATTGATAATATGAAAGACTACCAGTAGTCATGAGAGCAGATTTGATGGCTGATGGAGACCAATCAGGGTGAAATGTTTTAACATAAGCAGCTACACCAGCAACATGAGGGCATGACATGGAGGTTCCAGAAATTATATTGTATTTAACTCGCCTCTCATCTGTTGCAATACTTGAAGGTGAAGCAGCTGGTGAATATGCAGCCAAGATATCCACTCCTGGGGCGCTTATATCGGGCTGCATGGCATTAATGGAATTGCTTTAGTGAAAAGAAGCAAAGGAAATTTGAGAAGAGAGAGCTGTTGGTTATAGTAGAAATACATGCCTTTAGAATCTCAGGTACAATTAAATTAGGGCCTCGTGAAGAGAACGAGGCAACTACAGGAGCAGCAGAATCTTCAATTGTTTCACTTTTTAATATTTCTGCTTCGGGTTGTCTGTGACACAAGAGAGAGTCATCAGTTTGAATTTGCCTAACATACGGAAATAAGCTTTAGAAAGCTAATTTTAGATATCTACATACTCGTTGGAACTCAGGTAGGACTTGACTGAATCATAGTTGTCAATGCTTAAAGCTAAAGCAGGCAATGGGACAACAAATGAAACATTATCAATTGAAGTTTGCAAAATTGATCCTAATGCACCAGCAACATGAGCTTCCTCTTGTCCCCCAAACTCATCGCATAGAACAATCTTGTTCTTTACCAAACTACTGTTCAGGCAACCAATCTCGCAGATCCTGAAAGGGATCACCAATTATCAAACATTTTGCTTGTTCTAATCTTTGCAAATGAAAAACTAAATCAAAATGCTTGTCAATGGAACCAACCGAGCACTGGTCTCATCGCAATCTGATGTTGCTTGTAGCCCATAAACTAGTGGAAACTTTGTTCTATTAAGACTGAAAGAATTTATTGAAAATCCCTGCTTGCAAAGAGAAATAATTAGAATAAGTAGAAAATAGGATGTTAGTAAATGTGCAAGAGCAGTATGGTTCTTACAGTTAGAGTCTCCCCATTCCCAAGAACAACCTTGTCAATGAATAGGCGATCCATGGTGCTTGCTGCTACAGTAAGTTTCCATGGTGCTACACTTATCACTGATTGTGGTCCTGATGTGCCACTATTGCCTGCAGATTGCATGACAAGTATTCCTTTCTCTGCTGCATGGAAAGCACCAATAGCAATAGGGTCCTGGTAAAATTCGGATGAAGAATCTGCTCCTATTGAAATTGTTATAAGGTCAACTCCATCAGCAATAGCATCATCAAAAGCTGCCAAGATGTCCGCTGAAGCACATCCTTCTTCACTGCAAACTTTATATGCAGCAATCCTTGCAGAAGGAACCCCTCCTCTCGCAGTGCCTTTAGCCAATCCAAAGAAACTAACATCCTCTACGTTGTTCCCAGCTGCTGTGGATGCAGTATGAGTTCCATGACCTTCTGTATCCCTGGCAGAGTCTTGGCCGTAAACTTGAGCTCCGACAAGCTTACTGTACGATACGTACTAATTTTTGTTAGTAAACTCACAAACATTTTAAGACAACATATATAATTACTGGTATCTGAATATAACTTTCAAAGTGTGAACTTAAAAAAATAAAGAAGTATGTTTACTTGTTACAAGTAAAGTTTTGGCCACCCTTACAAGAACCCTTCCACTTTTTGGGAGGAGGACCAAAGCCTTCATCACTGAAGCTTTCTGACTCAGGCCAGATACCACTATCAATAACACCAACAATGACATCGCTTTCAACAGTAAGATTACGTTTAACAGTCTCATTGAATCCCATGAAATCCCACGATCTTGTTGTTTGAAGGTAATAAACTTTACTTGGAAAAACAGAAACCACTCCTTTCATGCCTACATACAATCATGGCATTGTGAAAATAAATGATTAAGGCATTCCAAATTTCTGAGTATATCCTATATTAAAAGTTGCAGATAAAAGAGCTTTACACCACTTACTTGCAAGTTTCTTTGCCTCTTCATCACTGAGCTTCGCAGCAAATCCATTGAAGCTCCTACTGTAACTTCTGATTAAGTAATTTGCCACAGAGCTGGAGAGGAAAAACATCAGATTCTGAATAATGCTAAAAAAAATTGCCTTATCTGATCAAAATCCTTAAATCCTACCTCTGTTTAAAAACTGCTTGAAGCATACTGGAATGGTGAGATGATGGAAAGTATTCTCCTCCAGGAAGTGATCCCAAGTATGCAATGTAAACCTGCGTCATAATAATGGTCATCATCACACATTATTATAATTATGAAGCAGTTCAGATAACATTGTTAACGGTCTGTCGCTTTTAAATAATAAGAAATTCATTTGAAAGACGTAAAAATAATACTTGCCTTTCTATCTTCCTCTACAGCACCAGAGGAAAGGCTCAAGCTAAGCATGAAAATCACATAAATGCCAACAAGCAACAGGAAACCTGATTTCTCCATTGTTCTATGTTTGAATATGCATAAAATTGAAATGTGATAAATGGTATTTTATAGTGGATTCAAAAGATCGAATCTCATATCCAATTAGCTGGAATCTTAGATTTTATTTTTCTTGACATAGCCAGTGCACCTTAGCAATTACAGGCAATTTTATTGATACCATGGTTATTGTCATTTATGACCAATTCAGGATGATATTTTTCCTTGACTACAAATAAACAAGAAGGGCTAGGTGCAATGTGTTTCAAAGATTTGGTGTAGGTGGGATTTTTCAGTTATACAAACATGCTGTCAAGCAAATATAACGTATAAATGGCCATTTTCAGAAAGATCAATTTTTTTTTTCAGTATTTATTGCTGCTAACATTTTAGCAGCTGGACAGATTCTGTTCATACTTTTTGCTAGCTAAGGAATCAACTTATAACTTCATGAAATTGGATTTTAAACACATTTTTCTTCTGTTTTCCTCTATTAAATGTGGGGTTTTGCAAGGAGCCCTATTTTTGCTGCATTAACCAAAATGCCATCCTTTGCAAAAATCTCTCTAGTAGTTAATGTTGCATGGCTGGTTTCCGAGTATTATGAAATAGATACTACCTTCTAACGGGCCAAAGTATAACTCTATACATACAGCATTAATATTCCGCTGTAATTACAAAATAAAATCATAATGGACCAGATTCCGTTAAATCATGTAATGAAAAGTAACATTTAAAAATATGATATTCAAATTCTAGTACTCGTAATTTTTTATTATTATTTAATTGAGTTCTCTTCCGAAAAAACATAGAATTATTACTAGGAAAAGGAATTCAGTACCATGAGTTAGATAGGACAAGCACTGTGGAGATAAGCAAAACTAATTCTTCAACCAATAAAAAAAAAAAAAACAATTTCGAAAAAGGAAACAAAGCATGTCATTCATGCTTCTCGAGACATCCCGTCTTCCTCCGTTAAACTTGGGGATTAAAATGATAGAAGAAATGAAGTTGACTTTGGATCATATCTGCATTAATATGAGCTTTTTTTTTAAATACCAAAATTATGTGTTTTGGAGTCAATCTAAAATTCTTCAACTTTTATTTTTTTCATTTTTGATTTTGAAATAAAAAAAATGTTTATTGTGGTGATTTTGCTATTTTTTTTGTCATGAAATGTAGTCGATGTTTTTTAATTTGCGAAAAATTATGTTCTTTTGTAGTATTTAGATGGATTCTTTTTAATTTTTGAATGAAATCTTGAATTTCTATTTTAAGAGTTATTTTTTTATTTTTTTAATATTTTTCTGGTTTAAAATGTAAAAATTTTTATTTTTATTTTTATTTTAATTATAATAATTATCTTATATAATTAATTGTGTGATTTGTTTTTTTTTTTTTATCAAAGATAAAATAATAATTTTATCTAATGGACAAATCTCAAAGTGGGAACCTTTAGGGGAGTTGTTAATGTACAGCAATAGATGTTAGGGCTGTCCAAATGTTTGATCTGTTGTTAATATAATGGAAAATATTTCGTACTTTACATTTTTCGAGGCCTAATCTGGTCAACAATCAAAGCCCAATAATTTTTAGATTCTACTTTAAGAACCCATGGAAGCCCAAATCCAACCAACAGAATCCCATACGAACCCAAACCTAACCATACAAAGACCCATAGGATAATGTCCGAACACACATAGCATTCCCGTCTTGTCTTATTTCGTCATCTTAGGCCGAAACACTGTTATGTAAACATGAAATATTCCTTTGTAAAAATCTGACGAGAAAGGGTACTTTTCTAGTGGGAGGAAATGATTAATATGGCATTATTTGGTTAAGTGGAATGCTTAAACTGCCAATATTCACACCGTTCTAGTGGAGAATCAAAAAGAAACTATAATTATAAAGGCCACTAATAGATCCATTGAATGATATTTTGAACATGCATAGAAGCCTAATTCCTAACGATAGGATGAAAGAAAAAAAGCCTGAAGTTGAATTGTCAGAATGGCTGAATGGGCAAAAGATGTTGAATAAGGTCAATCAATTATTGGTTAAGTAGTGATGATCATGATATTTTCTTGTTCTTGACTAGAGCAACAAACTTTTGAAATTCACACAAAACATATTATTCAAAGGTCAAAAGTGGCGGATACCACTCACTTTCCCGGCCAGAGTCAGTCATCAATTAATTCCAAGACTACCATTCCACTCAGGGCACTGTCCTTCCAAGGTGTGGAGATAGTGAAGTTCTTGGCTCAATTATGCAGCATAACCATGTCAGAAGACAAACTAACAGCTCAAGATCTATATAAGACAAAAATCTTTGAAGTTGACAGTCGGAAGTCTCGCTGAGTGGCAAAAGTAAATACATGCTTCATTTAATATAGTTGGTTTTTTTATGAGATCACCAGGGCCAAAATAGTAGCTAATTTGTTCTAATTAAGCAGGAGAAAGATCCCAGAAGCATAATTACGTCAACGGCAAACAAACATTTTCTTTGTTTTTAATTTCCCCCCCTGTTCCAAACCTTTGTATTGTGTGCTGTGCCTATATAATAATATTCAAACAGGAGTGATTCAACTCAAAGCCTACTGCAATAATCTGCTTGTTCAAAACAATGGACTTTTCTAAGCTTTTCATTGCCCTTTTCATTTTCCAAATTTTGTTCCCTTGCCACATGTCAACCCAAGCAGCTCCTGTGAACTCAAACCTCTTCCGAGAATATATAGGAGCTGAGTTCAAGAATGTTAGATTCACTGATGTTCCCATTAATTCGAATGTTGAATTCCACTTCATTCTCTCATTTGCCATAGACTATGACACCTCAGGTTCTGCTTCTCCAACATATGGGAAGTTCAATGTCTTTTGGGACTCTGATAATCTCAGCCCTTCCCAGGTTTCTTCCATCAAGAGCCGCCATTCAAATGTTAAGGTGGCCTTAAGCCTAGGAGGGGACAGTGTGGGAGATCGCTATGCTTACTTCGACCCTTTCTCTGTAGATTCTTGGGTTTCCAATGCAGTTTCTTCTCTCACAGTTATCATCCAAGAATACAACTTGGATGGAATTGATATTGACTATGAGCACTTCCACGCTGATCCAGACACTTTCGCTGAGTGCATTGGGCGCCTTATAAAAATCCTCAAGAACAGTGGAGTCATTTCTTTTGCTTCCATAGCTCCATTTGATGATGACGATGTTCAAAGCCATTACAAGGCCTTGTGGAAGAGCTATGGTCACCTCATCGACTATGTCAACTTCCAATTTTATGCCTATGATCAAGGAACAACAGTTTCTCAATTTATAAATTATTTCAACACCCAAAGCTCTAACTATAATGGTGGTAAGGTTTTAGTGAGCTTTATAAGTGATGGGAGCGGTGGCTTGACACCAGAAAACGGCTTCTTTACTGCCTGCAATAGGCTCAAGAGTCAGAACAAACTCCATGGTATATTTGTTTGGTCTGCAGATGACTCTAAGGGGAACGGATTCCGCTATGAGAAGCAATCACAAGCTCTACTTGCAATTTCCCACTAGTATTTGTGTGTTATCTATGCAATTAGACTCTAAGGAATATATGCTTGTCTATTGACTAAAAATTTCATGTGTCTGTTGTGTACCTTTCTCTCATATTACTGGTCTTTTTTTGTGTGTTCCTACTCTCATTTAGTGAATCTTCTTTTTATTTTTTTCTTTTGGTAAATGAATTGAAATTTTAGATCAATTTTGGGTCCAGGACAGGCAATATTAGTTCAATTTTGGATATTAGACAAAATAATCTCAAAAACCAGCTACAGAATTCAACTCCCTATAGACATGAATGATCTCACATCCTCAACCTGCTCCAAATATGTTATAGCTTGAGTAAGAGAACATCATTTCCAGACTCATAATCACTCTCACAATTTGCTCATGTCTTAGTTAGATTCCCACTGATATGGTCGATATTGATTTTGACACATTTTTCTTAAATCTAATAGGATATTAGTAAAATGGATAAACTAGAATCTAACACATTTCTTCTCAAGAGTGCCTGGCAATTCAATTCAATTAAATAAGACTGCTCACTTGCCTTTTTATTTCAGGCAGGAATGATAACAGTATTCCATAGGGATTGTCAACGATGCTGAAAAACGTGCTCCACAGCCTGATTTACCATAAAGCCCTGTTTGGACTTCATGTCGAACTAAGCGTACAAATCTGTTCAAAATAATTCATGTCAGAAGTTTCAGTTTTGGAATCTCCTCAAGCATTTTTTATACTTAATAGTCTCAAATTTTTTGCTTCTTCCTGATCATTCTTCTCTGTTAAGAGGATAGAAAAAGGTTTCATATGAGACTGCTATAACCTGCAAGAGAATGTCATTTTGCTCTATGTAATACTCCAGAATGTTTGATATCAATAGTTCCACATGAATGCCATTATGATTCTTCTTGATAAAAAATGGTGGAGAAAAAGACTTTCACCCAATCTAGCTTCTGGAAGCATATCTGTACATGCAACTGCTTCATAGTATATTTATTGCGTTTTTTTTAAAAAAATTTCATTACAATAACATTGCCCTGTAAAGTTCATATACCTTCATTCCTGATTAACATGGTTGCCAACAAAAAACAGTGCCAAGTAAATGCTTCTTGGAACCTCAGCCAAGGACAATAATCCGTAGAAGCAATAGTGGTAGAAATATGTAGCTCTGACACATTCAGAATCTCTACTATGATCTGGCGCTGATACCAAATCCATTTTGTTACAGACAATTCCAAAATATCCGCATATACTTTTGTCAATACATTGTTACAGATTTGCGAGTAATTGTCTTATAATTACTACATTAATTTAATCGTGTTCAGTAAAGCATTCAGCATAGTTAAATATAACTGGTCTAAAGATGCAGGCAGCTTAGAAAATGAGGACCTGTCCAAAGAAATTACTTCGAATTATGGAGGAAATAGGGACATCTGATTGACTATGTGTAGACATCCAATTTGATTCAGGTTTTGATCAATTGGGCTTGGTTCAAATGGGTAAGTATATATATATTTTTTATTTTTATTTTTAATTTTTTAATTTATTTTTATTTTGTAATTTTACATTTTTATTTTATTTTATTTTTATTATTATTATTTTATATATGTATATATATATTTTTTTCTTTTATTATTATTTTTTTAGGGATTTATGTATTTATTAATATGTATATATCTTTATTATTATTATTATTATTATTATTATTATTTTATTATTTTTTTTCTTCTTTTTTTCTTCTTTTTTTTTCTTTTTCTGTTAATATTTATGTAATTATCTGTTATTTAATTTTAATTTATCTGTTAATTTATCTGATTTATCTGATTTATTTTTGTTTGATTTTTTTCTTTTATTTATTTATTTATTTATCTTTTTTTTTTTAAATTTTGATTTATCTGGCTTGGATTGGGATTCAATCAATTAGAGTCCAGATTGGATTCAAAGACTGAATCCTCGTCCAAAGAGGAATTGGGATTAATCAGAAACTCCTGATTAATCCCTATAAAAGGGACCTCTTGGAACAGAACAGGGCAGACGGCAAAAACAGTGGGCAAAGCTACTGATTTAAGAGATAGAAGAGTATAAAAAGCTAAAAAGTGTTCTGGAAATTAGTAGGAATTTTTTGGAGATTTTTTGGCAATTTTTTTTTGGGAATTTTTGGAAAAATTCTAGATTTCGGTTGAATTTTTCGGCGAAAGTTAAATTTTTCGACGAAAATTTCAGCCAACTTTGAAGTTTCCGGTGAGCTGCCCAGTTTTCGACGAAGAATCCCAGAAACCGACCAACTTTCGACGAAAAAACCCAGATTCCAGTGAAATTTTTCAGAATCCGGTGAAATTTTTAGAGAAAAGCAAGAGAAAAAGGAAGAAGAAAGAGAGAGGGAAGGAGCGTTCTGTCAAAAAACAGAGGGAAAAGCCTTATATACCCTCCCAAAACGATGTCGTTTTGGCCTTACGTGCCCAGAAGATCTGCGCATTTTGCTGAGATCCGACCCAACCCGAATGTCGACCCGCTTCCTGACCCGCGTGTGTCTTTCCTTCTGAGCTGATAGCCGAGCCGAGCCGGGGTTCCAAGCCGCTTCTCCGAGCCGTTTTCTCTTCCTTGAGCCGAGCGGAGCCGAACAGTATTCTGAACCGCCCCAGATTTTTTTTATTATTATTTGTTTATTTATTATTTATTAGATTAGGTTTATTTAGTATTCTTTTTACCTTTATTTTATTTTTTATTTTTGTTTTACTTTTTCTTATTTTATTTTATTATTATTTTTTTCACTTTTATTTTGTTTTATCATTTTATTTTCTTTAAATAAAAATCAAAAAAATATTTTTGGGGAAAAGTTGAAAGTATCAATTTTCCTTGAAAATCAAAGTTTCAAAAAAAATAAATTTTTGAAGAAAAGTTGAAAGTATCAATTTTTCTCGAAATTAAAGTTTCAAAAGAATATTTTTAGGAAAAAGTTAAAAGTATCAATTTTTTCTACACAAGAACAATCATTCTTTTCTTCCTTTTTATTTTAATTTTGATTTTGATTTTTCTTTAAATAATCCGACGACGGAGCCTCTGCAAGTGAAACAGTAGTTTTTCTTGCATACTCTTGATGTGAGGGAATTTTCTCAATTTTCTGCTAAAAGTATTAGAGTCAATTGAGAATAATTTTCAATAATTAATTACTTGATAAAATTTTAAAGCTAATTGGATAACACAAATTTAAGCTGGTACCATCTTTTGATAGGCATTGTGAGGGTGCTATAACCTTTCTCACACGTAACCGAACTCCTGAACCCTGTTCTGGTTAGTAGACCTGAACCTATTCTTTTAGGGACCCTTAAACTTAGGTATTCCCTCAAATGACAGATTCTTTAGGTGGTCAATCGCACCTAGATAAAAAAGATTGGTGGCGACTCCCTTAAGTCAATGTCTAGCGATAGATCCACGGATCTAGACGTTATAACAGCTTGGCGACTCCACTGAAGATTTTGAGAGTCAGGCCAGCAAATAATTTGTGTTATCCAAAAGCCTAATAAAATTGAACCTGTTTGTATATATGTGTTATTATTCATTCATGTTTATTTACCTTATTAATTATGTCATTCATATGCATGTGCATAACATGAGCTCTACACCCGAGCTCCGTCCCTCTAGGAGGGAGTAAAGTACTTATTGCTTTCTTGAGGTCTAATGCCTCCGCAGTGGCTAGCGAAATACTCTCACTTAAATTGAATCTTTTTCGCTTGTAACCTGTAATGGGTGAGGATTAAGGTGCCTTACTAGTCTGTGATGGACAAGGATGTAAGAAACAATTTGAGGACCTTTAGACTTTGACCTCAAAACTGCATATAGTGAACCTTAAGAGTGCCTAAGCCTAGGATAGAGCCCTTTCTACCCAATAATAGATATACCCTGAAATTAAGACACAAAAAAGGTGTTTATCTAATCATTTTGATTGTTTAACTTTGTGTATCGTTTTCATTATCATATGTAACATTATGCATCAGCATCACTTTCATTTCATCCATGAAACTAACTATGTTGTTTATCTGATTGTATGCATATGCATTATTTTCATGATCATGTTTTAACACAATCATTTGCATCCATTTCATACTAGATTTCATTCAGAAAAATATGCATTTCATTCGTACATTAAAGCATCATACATAAAGCATAGCATAACATTTCTAATCATAAGTATGGTACTCAAGGTCCAAGGATAGTTCCATCTAGCGAGAACCCTGTCTATCGATACAACACAAGATCCAGAGCAAGACAAATGGAGTAAAAAAATTCTCATAGATTTGAAAAGATAGAAAGAGCACAAAAGAATATTGAAAGTGAGCTGAGCAAGATTCTGGAGGCTCTTAATAACATGAATAAAAGAAAAAGAGTTGAAGAAAATGCAAGCCAACAAGTTCCCTCACTGCAAGAAGTGGCTGACCCTTTATATCCTTCAAGTTTTGGTCCACCTCAAGCCAAGTCTGTTCAAGAGGTCCCACCACAACACTTCGCATATTCAACGTATCCTGAAATGCCATCAACTTTTAACCCAGGGTCGTATAACAGTTATGTAAATCCTATTTTTACTGAAAAAGTAGCAGAACCAATTCCTGATCTAGATAATTTAAAAGAGAAGGAGAAAGAAAAGATAAGAGTGAAAGTTCATGAAAGCTCCAAGATTAGTATGCTAGAGCAAAGATTACGGGCTGTGGAAGGATTTAGCTTTTATGGGTCAGTTGATGCTGCTGGACTCTGCCTAGTCCCTGATGAGGTTATTCTTCATCAGTTCAAAGTACCAAAATTTGAAAAATATGATAGTACAAAGTGCCTTAAAACTCACATCACAATGTATTGTCGAAAAATGACAGCTCATGCTCATGATGAAAAACTCTTGATGCATGTCTTTCAAGATAGCCTTACAGGCTCAGCAGCCAGGTGGTATGTTCAGCTGGACAGAATTCGCATTCACTCTTAGAGCGATATGGCACATGACTTTATCGATCAGTATCGACATATTATCGATTTGGCCCCTGATCGTTTGTCTGGAGAAAAAGGTAAACGAGTCTTTCAAAGAGTATGCTCAGAGGTGGAGGGATGTTACTTCTTAGGTACAACCTCCTCTGACTGAAAAAAAAACTACGGTGTTGTTTGTTAGCACTTTAAAACCTCTCTATTATGAAAAGATGATAGGAAATGTAATGAAAAATTTTACTGATATGGTGATCTCTGAAGAAATTATTGAAAGTGCCATAAAAAATGATAAGTTGAAAAGAGGAGAAACCAAGAAGGCATCAGAAAAGAAAGAAGCCAAAGCTCAAGCTGTGAGCTTTGATAGATAGCAATTCAGGGGTTATTAACCCTATCCATCTCAAGGTTACTCTCCATACTATCCTGCTGTGA